GATCTCTTTTGTGAAATGACCTTTAAGGGTGAAAAAATATAAAAAGAAAATAAATGTGAATGAACCTTAAAAGGTTTGGTACAAATATTCTGTTGGGAACTGTTTGGTCCTTTAAAAAGATGTCCACATAGGATATAAAATGTATGAAAGAGAGTAACATCTGTGCTTTAGGTCAGGAAGGCTCATCACCCATTAATGTAACTCAGCTAACTTCTTACAGGTCACTGAGGCACAGTGTTAGTCTGGTGGGTTACTTTGTGAGTGTGCTGTGTCTCAGCAGAGAAGAGCAGCTTTGAATATGGAAATGAAGGAGGTAGAACAGCAATTTAAACTCTGCTATGCAATCCATCTCTTCTTGACAAGGGTTCCTTTCAGGTGTGGTGTTTTGCTGACCCCTATGTAGTTTATGCATCCCTTTGCCGAAACTCCTGGTCTTTGTCTCGTACCTGACTGCGGGTTTGGATTCAATTTCACTGGTAGGAAATTGTTTAGATTTAGCCATGATTTATACCCATTTCAGTGGAAGGGGCCAAAGCAAAACTCCTTCAATCTTGCCCACGTCAGCAAACACTATAGATTCACCCATGCATGGAAATAAAACTGAGCTCTTGCACCTCACATTATCTTTGTGTTTAAATGAGGCTAAATGTCTGAAAATCATGCTCATGACCTCTGAGTGGGCAGAGATAATTCTCCCTATTATACCTCTCCACTTTCCTATGATCCTGGATTTCTCAAACTGTCTGTAAAAGCCCAGGTTCTCCTCTGACCCTTGCACATACCCAGACACCAGGAAGACATATGTCTTAACAGATAATGGCTCCATTGTGTGAGTACTGTCAGTATCATATCAATGTGACATAAATACAGCAAATTAGCCGCATGTTACTTACATCAGAACTGCTCCAGCTCTTTGTGTGGAATGGAAAAGGTGCAAGTGAAAGCTCTCTGAAGCAGCATGAGTCTTTTCCTTTTCTTAATAGTGCTTCTTTGAAAACTGCACCAAGTTTTAGATTTGGTACTAATTCAAGGTTATTTCCCCCTCAAAATAAGAAAGAATTCGTAATTCATATTTCACCTAAGCACTGTGAAATTGGTACTTTGGCAAAATTTTCCTTAAGGAATATTATTGCCAGTCTTGACCATACACATGTGAAAATGGCACATTTCTTGTTCATATCACTGTGGGCTTCTCTCCCTGAGACTATCATAAAATAGCTTCTTTCATGACTAAAAGACAGATTAGTTAAGAGAGCTCTTAGCAAATACCTGTAGTTTTGGAGGCTCAAATTCATCAAATTCTTTTCTACGTGTCTTCAGAGATTGCAAAATATAGATCTATTTAAGTCTTCTGAAAAATAAAATTTTAATTGTGATTGTTTTTCTCTCCTAGGCATTTGCAATGTGGTACAGCCATTGATAAGGCATAATACTTCTTATGTCACTCAAGAAATATCACAATATTATATTCTGAGAAGTGATAGAAAAAAATCAAATGAAAATTTTTTTGATCACATGCATTTCTCAGGTCTAGACACATGATATGGTTTTATTCATATACAAACATATGAATAATAAAAAGATATCAAATAACTTTTGGAACTAAATATGCATTTGAGTTTGTAGATTTTTACTAAAGTGTGACATAACAAGTGTTATGAAAAATGTTTGTAAGTTTTTCTGAACTTTTATCCCTTTCTTAAAGAGTAATGGAAACAAGGAACATGACCACATCTGATTGCGTGTAATCAAAAATGACACAATACTGGAAAATAAATGTAGGCAATGTTTTTTCAGAAAGTATCAAATAATGAATACATGTGCTCTCCTCTTATGCAAACACTTCAGTGTTCATTTCATAAGCTTGTGCCCATTCTCTCCCTGTCCTCCTGTCATGGGAACATCTTTAAACAATGGTTTTCAACAAGTCACTTTTTTCAAATTTTTAGCTGTAAGGTATCAAATTGCACCAGTCTGATTGCATGTGTGTTTTTCTATAACAAGTCAACACTGAATACATGAACAAATTACTAGGGTGCATTTTAAAATCGAAAGAATAGAAATAAAACTTTGCCGTAAAAAATTCTCCAATAGTGTTCAGTAGACTTATTGTCTTCTAAAATTGTAAATACACTTCTGTTTTCAGAGCCCTGTTATGATGATGTAATTTGTGTGAATTTTGCCAGAGGATAATTTTGAACAAATACGTTGTGGATTAGTCCAGTGACTTTTTCAACGTGTAAGATTATCCATGGAAGTTTTTTTCTGGGAAAGGGCAGGACTTCACAGAGACATTCTTCCCTTCCAAAATACTAGAGATGTTATATAAACATTACACTGACAAGAGGCTTTATTCTTACTCTTGTCCTACTATACCGTAACTCTTCAGTCAGCTCTGACTCAAAGCAGTGATTACACTGAACTTGGTGAGATGTTGGTGTTAGTGAATTAAAAGCATATTTGGTGCATATTAGAGCTCTGCATTTTTGTGATATCTTGACTTCAAATTTACAGGAACAGCCTGACACTATGAAGAAATATAAATCTAATTAGCCAAATGTAATTTTGTAATATCAGAAATTACAGCAATCAAAATTTGTGTATTTGTGTAAGACCAAAGATATCTATATCCCCCTATTCATGGGAGCACAAAATTCCTCTGTATCGCTTGGTCTCCTGCCAGCTTCTCCTCAGAACTCATATGTGTTGCACTGCTACAGCACCAATCTCCTCAGAAAAAGGGTTAAAGATTTGTGTCCCACTTTGTTACACTTACACTGACTCATTTGATAATGGGTATGCCCTACAACTATTGGGATGACTCCTTGCTTGAGTCCCCTGGTGCTGAGGGGCTTTGTGAGTGGTGCAGCCATAATGGAGGAAATGTTTCTCGGTCTTATCTGAGAGAGCATCACCTTACTCACATCTTTTTCTAAATGTAATTACATATGGTTTAATTGTTAAGTATCTCTTAATGACTGGAATTATGCCAGAATTAAAAACCTGTGCTTGCCGGTTATCCTAGAGTGTCAGATGTGCAGCATAGCCTGTACTCTACCTAACTCTCTATCTTGAAACAATTCTGATATTTGAGATGATAATTGAAATTACACCAGCGTCTCAGGAGCCTCTGTCAGAACACCAAAATAGATTGTATAATGTTAAAAAGAAGGAAAAGAAGTATGGATAAACTGACTCTTCCACTTTGCAGAACACAGGATTGAATTTAATTTAATTCTTAAATACTGTATGGATTGACTGGTTGCCCAATAATTGGACAGCTTCTGACCCCAGGGCTTCCTGAGTCATACCAAGAGATGGCCACACTTCAAATGATAATAAAAATGCTTACAATAATCCAGACAATAATAAATTACTGGTACTCAGCGCAGAGATTATTTATTGGAATTAAGATTTCTCTTATTTTATAGCTGAGAAAAAGCAAAGGTTAATTTATAGCCCATTTATATTTTTTCTTTTCAAGCCCATACTAAACTAATTGAACAACTTCACTGTGGCTCAAGGGAAATTTGGCCACTGCTTTATTGGAGACAGACTTGGTGACCTAGAACCTGTTCCTCTCTGGCAAGACTGACTGCATTCATTCTAAATCAGAGGCGTGGATACTGGTGTAAAACTGCAGCAACAGCCTGGCTGAGCTGGCCTTTAATCTGCCACATCCATGCAAATTGTGCAGACCTCAGAGAACTGAATATTCAGACACTGTATTTATGCTCAGAGAGGGGAAAACACGCCCATAGTTCATTCGCATAATAAATGTGATGGGAAAATAATTCTGTGGGGACAAACATTGTTTGGTTTGTCATGAGACGTACTTGACAGTTACTGCTTTGTCCCTTTTGTGCCATAGCAATGCAGTGGTATGATTGTGCCATAAATCTGAAAGACTGTTTTGCAAAGTTCGTATCTGTGCTTGCTACCTTTAATATTAATAGGAGAATATCTTTAAAGTGAGTAAATTGAGAAAGTGGCTGAAACTATAGTTTATAAAAGAAGATTAGTGGGTTTAATATGCACTGGAGAGTAAAAGAAAAATCTTATTACTGTATGGAGAAATTACCTCATAAAGAAGCTAATACAGCAGGCTAGGGAGTAATTTTTAACAAGGTTTTTATGATGCACAAGTGTAGGCAAGTTAATGAACTTATCTTTTTAGTTATTTTCCGATTGTAACAATGCATTTCTTTTCAGTTCCTGTGCTTTAAAAAGTAAAACACATTTAATCACTTACAATAAAACTAACTCATTAGTTTGATAAATCAAGTAAGATCCTATACTGCTCCTGTTGTGGCACTGCTGCTAAGAAACTAGATCAGGTGAAAAGATTAAGTAGGGAACAGAGCAAACAACCAGGTTTATTCACTATTGGAATTAAAAAGTGTGACACTGACAGGGAATGTTCATTTTTGGAAAGACCTGCTCTGGTCTCAGTAGCAGAACTTAGGAAATAAAAACTAAAACAGGGACTAAGGCCAAGATTTTGCTTAACAATTCCACTCTGCAAAATAGCCATGTGGTCTTTGACATTCATAAAACAGACATCTGAAGAATGTCACATCCAACAGCAAAGAAACCACAGGGGGGAGTTGGTAAATACAGAATGTCCATCTGTCAGCACCCCAGCATGGCATGCGTAGGTATTGTTTAGGAGGAGCATGTCCACATTTTTCTGCCCAAATGCAGAAGACAGACTGCTGAGTAAAACAGTTCAATCTTTATATTGATTAAAGAGATGTGCTTTCCTACCATACAACAATCACTGTACTTGAAATTAATTCAGCAGCACTCTGAAGGAAAGACTGAAGATTGTCAGGCACTCACTGCAGGTTTTAATACAGATGTCCTAGAACAGAAATACTGTGGACACACCACAACAATTTGACACTACAGCAGGGCATTTCATCGAGAGTTTATCAGAACTTCATCTAGACCACAGCCATGTGAGCCACAGTCTCACTGAATGTTAATATTATTCACAGCCTCCTTCATGTCACGGCGTGGGACAGCCTTCCCAGCAGAAGCACACTGAAGGGGAGAGAGGAGTGTGCTGGGAAGATGAGTTACTGCTGATCGACTCACTGACATAAACAGATGGGAAGGACGGATTTCTCCTCTGCTGATGAGAACATTCTCCCACATGGATGTGGAAGAACTGTCTGCAAAGAGTGGCAGCAGGGAGAGTTCTGCTATTACAATAGCATCTGAGTGATGAGAAAGTTGCATAGTGCTCCGGGCATTCAAGTGTCCCCACACCCTTGTTAAAGGCCACAGTCAGCAATCTTTACTGCACTGAAACAATTAATATAAAAAAGCTTATGGTTAGTGGAAAACTCGAGCTGTAATTAGCACAGTCTATTCACCTTGGGGTGAAGCAGTATTAGTTTTCCCAAGTCACATTTTATGGTTTGTACACTGCCGATGAGCCAGTAAATATAGCTGAAATGACTAATTCACTATCTACGGTTCACTGGTGGGGATTTTTTGTTCAAAGTAAATAACCTGAAATAGTTCTGAGTTAAGGTGCATCCACCTACTGTAACAAGCACTGAGCTGAATCTGGCTAGAGATATAGAGAGGCCTATTCATCCATCTGTCTACAAAACCTTTGAAGAGCCTTTTGAAAGAATGTCTGACAGTTATTTTCCTGCTTCCCTGCTTTATGGTAGACTCTACTCTCTTTTAGGGGTGCAGGATAAGACAAGCTTTACTGTCTTATTTCTGTCTTGTGAATCAGATCTCTCTACAAGTAATTTAGGTTTTGGGGGAAAAAAGTTCTCTCTTCCTTTACTTTTTCTTCAAGAAAATTTTCTATGAGAAAATGCTGTGAACTGCTAAAATTTAGTGCCTAAAAATATTTGCAGGGAGGAGAATATGATTTCCATCTTTCTGATTCCAGGACTCGCATTCCTCTGCCCCTATTCAGTCTTAAACATTTTGAATCTACATATTTAATCTTCAGAGCTGGTGATATAGATGACCCGAGCTTAAATTAAAAGTCAGATTGCTTCTGAATTCTGCCGAATTTAAAGCACCTCAGCCATTGCAGTTGGTGTGACCTTGACTCTGGTGTTTGGAGCTGACCTTTCCACATGGTTGAAACCACAGTTGCTGGATGCATCTAAAGTGTAGACTTATATCAAAATGATGTGATTCAATCTAATCACTTCTTGAGAAAAAAATTAAAGCAGAATTGACAGGAACCTGAAATAATAGATGCATTATTTATTATATTTATTGCTATATATATTTAATTTAGTCTCTATAAATGAATATTTTTACTGCAAAATGAAAGTATCTGCAGTGCAAAGGTAGCAGATGATCATTGTGATTAGAGAAACTCATTCAGGTGATGAATGATATGTTTGCAAAGATGAAACTTTACTGGAAGATTTTAACTGTTTTCTATACATGTTTGGAAACTGATAAAATGACAACACTGAGGTGACAGGATAGAAAAAGTGTATGAAGAGAATGGGACAACTTTTGCTCTCAGTAACTTTATGCAAATGTAATTGCAGTGCAAACCAAGAACTTCCTTTAGATTTGTGTCACTCCTTCCTCTTTAAATCAGAACTACTTTTGAGGAAGGTGCAATAGTTCTAGGCCATCATTTGCTCAGGAAAGAATATTTTGAAAGACAAAAACCTTGCTGTACCATTTTCCTGCACACTTTTAAAACAATGTATCCTTCTTTAGACTGTACAAATTAATGAGTGAACACACAACTGTGAAAAAACCTTTAACAGCCCAGTACCAAAACCAGCCACCCCTTTCAATTAAAAAAATCTGCATAATAAGATCAAATAAAAATGGTGCTTGAACTATCACAGGAACATGCTCTTACTTTCAAGTTTAATGGACTTAATTTGGACAGGAATATTGAAAACCAACTTTTTTTTTTTTTTTTTGTTTATCTCAATATTTCTACTGCAGAAAACAGTGGTGTGCAAATAACTTCCCAGTAAAATGAACATATCCTCCAGAAAAAAAAGTGTAAGAGTTTCCCCTTGCTCTTTTGAACATGCAAAAAAAAAAAAAAAAAAAAAAAAAAAAAAAAAAAAAGTTCAATTTGAGAGGTAGGCAAAGCCTCTTCCAATCATTATTTTGACCTGCACTTTGTCTGTCCATGCTCAGAAGCAGATACTGGTTTCTCAGGCACAAATTTTCAATTATCATGGGAAAAATAGCAAACATTTTCCACCAAAATTTGTTCATGCTCTGAGAAGTGATTTCATCTGCTGGGCTTGCCTCATTTTTGCATATGTTTTGCATGAATAGCTCAATTTCACTGGCTGAAACCTTCTCAGGAAATGAAATTCAAAGAGCTGTGTTAAAAGCTGTCATCAAAAATGTCAGGTCTCAGTTTGCAACAGGGGTGTATTTACTTGCCTGTGTTCCCAGTGCACATGCTGGGGCTGGGGGAAGTGTTTTGTGCACAAATGGGGGGTACAAAGATTACCTGGCACAAGGAGGGGACAGTGCCAGGCAGCTTCACTGACCACTCAGCTCTGAATGGTGCTGAGCCTGAAGCATTGGTGACTGAGACAGGGCAAAGAAAACCACAAAATGCTGTGATTTAATATATTATGTGCCCCCTCTAAACTTGCACTCACTCCCACCTTGGGGATCCAAGCTTTCTTGATGTTGGAGGGGGTTGCTAACAAGTCTCTTCCAGGAAACAGTTGGGGGCACCACTTGTACTTCCCAATTAGCCATCTGTCACTCTGACTGATCACTTTGCAATAATGATATAGTAGTGATCAATTTAGTCATATTTCTGGTAGGGGAACTTGCTTGGGCTTTACATTATAAGCCAAAGAGAAAGCCAGCAGCACATCTTGGGAGAATGCCATGGAAATTGTGTTTTGTATTGCACAATGTCCTGCTGGAGTGCCTTGTGCAGCAGGAAGAGCCGAGCTCACAGTCAGATGGCAAGCTCTAGATCTAATGTTACCAGGAATATGACTGCCAGAGGAAAGAATTTGTTGTGTCAACACAGTGCCCAGAATAAGGTTGTCAGAAACCAAGTGCGGAGCAAGGACAAGAAAACTTTTAGCATTGAATGCTATAAAAGAATGGACACAAGCCCAGGGAATAAAAGTATGACTCAGAAGAGCAGCACAGAGCAAACTTCAACTCAACCATTGTTAATGTTCACATAAGAGATCCTTTGGTATAGAATAAATCTAACGGGAGAGTCAGAGAAAGAAAAGTGCGAATCGCAGAAGTCAGAAATGAAATTATAACAGACAGGTCTGAAATATCACTTCAGGGAAAGCAAAGGGAGACCTGCAAGGACAGGTGGCCATGAAAAAATAAAACCCTTTCATGGAAACTGTGCATCCATAGTAATGCAGCATAAGGCAAGGACCATATTGTTGGGAGCAGGAGTGAGTGTGGCACGGCCCAGCACACCCTCTCCCTCGGAGTCTGAAGCCTCCCAGGGTGGTGGAGCTTTAGGCAGCAGGCCCTGACAGATGCTGCGGGGGGATGGGGGAGCCGCTTTAGTGAAATCTGATTCTTTATCTTGTTCTCCAGCTTTTCCTGATAAAACCAGTTCGGATGCAAGGGACAGCTGAGTGCTCTTGCCCCTGCCAGTAGGACCATGGCCAGGGCTCATCTCACTGCGGGGCGACCATCTGCTGCCACTTAACAGCACAGGAAACCACCACTGAACAAAAGCATCCACTCATAGAGCATCCCACCTCCTGCAACAAAATGGAGGCATAAAGGCAATGCTACTTCATCTCATACAATTCACAGTGAAGAGAGGACAGCAAACAGTGTAAGTAAGCCTAAGCTTTCCCCCTAGATGTCACTAACAGGTACAAGGACACTATTATGAGGCTTGATACAGCCCAGGCAGATGAAGGGGAGCAAACAGCAACCACAGCGGTGGAAGGATGGAGGGAGGGAGTGTGGCCTCCCCCATCTGCAGAGAAACCCCTCTGCTGTCATTAGGTTTGATGTTGAAAGAGGCTAAGCCTGGTGTAGGAGCAGACAGGGCGATGCCTTTCAACAGCATCACTCCTCAACAGTGCAGAATTTCCTGGTGATCCTCGGTATGGTGTTTTGGTGTTTCTGTCAGTCCATGTACATGTTCACATGCCATATTGGGCTGCTGCGTGGATAAGGGATAGCAAACACATACTGTGAATGTCACTCACCCAGAGATTTGCCTGATTATAAACCTACCCTCCATGAATTTGCTTTCTGCATATTTTCTTACTTTTTTTTGTCACAAGGAAATTTAAAATCTTTATTTTTCATCAATGCCATGGAGAAAAATGTACTTTCTTTTCATAGGAGATTTGAAGTGAATAAAAAGGTCTGACATTGGTTTATTAAAACCTCCCTACTTTAACATGAGTTTTCTTTTTAAAGGAAATAGTAAAAGTTTTAATCAGGTCAAAACTGATCTAGGATGTAGGCCAGCAAAGAAATCCATAGATATGAAGTTGCCAGCAATACAAACATACCCATTTATTGCATTTTGACTAGACAATCAATCAGAGAGAAAAACAATGGCTTTATTATGGAAAAATATTAAACATGTAAAACTTCTAAAGAAGGCAGCAAAATGATGCAGATGTACATCCCAAAGGTAGAGTAACACTTGGTCACTCTTCATACCTATAGTGATATTATTGCTAACATCATCTTCATCAAGTAAAACAGACCCTTCTCACAGAACCTGAAACTTCTGGGAAGCAGAAGTACAATAGGCCTGCCAGAGCTGCAGGCAGCGTCTTTGTGTATGCCTTTCTAGAAAAGAATTCTGAGAGGCAAAACTTAACCAGATGATCAGGGCAAGGAGAAGCTTTTCCGAAGTATCTTTTGTGTGTTCTGGACTGCATTTAGGTCAGCTTTGGATTTATGGCTTCTAACATAATATTCTGTCTGCCTTCTAACATAATATTCTGTCTGCCTTCTAAGATGACCCCAAGGCATGATGTGCCCCCAAACCTAGGTGTTCCACTGGGTATATAGAACAGATCTTTTGGACAGGGACCTGGAAGTATTGTGCAGAAAAGAGGACACTTAAAGTGACTGGCTTACTTTTGGCTTTCTTGCAGAAAGGCCATAGTTGGCAGCCAACGTCTTTAATTACCAGGTGTTTATTGTCCGTGAAGCCACTGAGTCACTTCTGCTTTTTGATTGTGACTTCATTTTATCAAACAGTAAGGGAAGAAACACCCTATTCAAAAGAAGCAAAAAATGTTCTGGCATAGCAATGCTGACAGTAAAACTCTAGGAGCATTAAAGATCTCAGCCTGGAGTTTATATTTAGATTTTAACATTATATTTAGCTGTTTTCAACTGCTGCTGAAGACTCTCCTACCCACCCCATTCACCTCTTTGGAAAAGGATATGAATTTGAAGTACAAGCTTTGCATTTGTCATTCAGATTAGGGTGGGAACTCCACCTGCTCACAGCCTTGCTCCCTTAAAAGCTACTAATCCTCATAAAACCAACCTTTCTGCTTCCTTTCCCCCCCCCCTCCACCCCCCCCCAATCTCTAATTTCCTGCATTCCTCACACTCTATTCTCTCTTTGTGTAGAAACTCATCTTGTTCTCTTTTGAACATACTGATTCATAAACATATGTTCTAAGTTACCTCTCTTGTCTTTGGTAACGTATTCCACATGTTTACATGCCATTTTATGAAATAGTTTTCTTTAACCTTTTTATTTGCCTCAATTTCCTAATGTTCAAAATATATTTTTTTCTTTCATGTTTTTTCTTCATAAATATATTGTACAGCTAAACAATGATGATTTTAATCAAAACCAAAACCACGGAAGGCCTAATCCTTCTTTGACACATGAGGCTAAATTCTGTCCTTAGTTGCTTTTGTGCAACACCGGAGTGGGAAAAGCTCTCCACTTTCACAGGGTTTTAATGTTGGCAATCACCTTTATGGCTAAATCTTGACTTATAAAGTATCCAGGGGAAGCTGAGAGATATACTAAAAGCAATTTAGAAATTTATTGCTAAAATGGCAAATTTAAAAGTTATGTTCTGGTATAGTCCAGTGAGTATTGTGTCTGTGTGTGCAAGTGTGCATGTGGATGTGAACATGTGTTGTTAAATCTAAGAATAACCATGCAAGTTGAATATCCCAAACACAAAGTACCCTGCAGCTGAATTCTTGTCTTTTTTCATTAGTAAGTTATTCAACTTTAATAATAAATGCACTTGGAATTGCAATAGGCAGAAAAATGTACAATATAGAATTTCATAAAAGCTTCATTAAAAAATAAATAAAAAGCAGCAGCAAATAACCTAAATGAAATAGATGCAGTTTTAAAAATCCCTGCACAGATATGCTGCAGAGGGAGGGACATGCAAAGGGAAAACAGAAGAAGGCCATTCTGCACCCCAAGTAGTAACAGGAGATAGAGTTCTATGAATGTCACTGAATGTGGCTTCTGGCATTTTTATTTTCTGGTAAAACAGGAGTTAAATTGATCTTGCAAAGGGAGACATCTATAACTCCAAGGGGTAAACATCTTTGACTTAGAAGACTCAAGGACCACCAGATGATTAAATAAGATTATTAAGGTTCACTTCTGCTTAGCTTTGTTGAGGATGGAAGTCCAATGCCTTTATAGCCTACTGTCTGCACACTCCAGAAACAGGGACACTAATACTCTAAACTGGTCCTGTTGTCAAAAGCAACACTCAAGCAGACAAATTCCACAGCAGCAATTGTGTATTAAATGTCAATTGAAGTAGCTTACATGAATTTCTGCTAAGGGATACATAGGTTACAACCTATGCTTCCATTTATCCAAATCCTATGTAAAACCAGTCTGAAATCCAAT